CCCGTTCATGCTCTGTCTCTCTCTGTCCCAAAAATAAATAAACGTTGAAAAAAAAAATGAGTGGTGCTAAAAGATATTTTCTAACCAAGTGAAATATTTTTCTGTCATGTAATTAATATCTCACACCAGCATAACATGATTATTCCAGCTATTTATTTTGCTCAGAGAATCTTTCTAAGTACACACAAGACATCAAACTTTTGAGTATGTATTAGTTCACCTCCATCTCATATATCCTCTACTGATCAGCCTCTTAGAGGCCAATAGGAGCAGATTATGCATTTTCTAAAAAAAAAAAAAAATTAACACTTCTACCTACTTAGAAAGCTCTTTTCTTCTATCTTCTTAATTTTTTTTCTTTATTTTGTTTTTCTCCTGGTCACCTTCTTTCTCACTTCAACTTCCTGCCATGTTTCTTTGTCAGAAGTCTGTTTGTTTCTTTTCTTCAGGGGCCTGGAGATTGGTAACAGTAGTGCTAGCAGTAATGTCGAGTCCTGGGTCATGGTCCTGGCTAGGCTAACGTTAGTTGGGAGGAGAGATGAGAGCAGCTGTACAATTTGACTCGTTTATTGTTTTTGAGTTGCACCAATGGGACACATCAAAGAAATAGAACATACTTTACTCAGTTTTCTATGCTTCAATAGAGGGCATCCTAATTTTACATGTCATGGGAAAAGGCATATATCTCCAATTCTTTCCCAGTGGGCATGTCAGTAAAACAGAAATACACAAATATTTGACTGACAGAGATTGTTATTACAGGGCCTGCTTGAGTTATAGGGCAATATGGTGGTTATAACAGTGCTTATGATGCTGTAGCAGATGAAGACTGATTTTTTGAGGGGCCTGAGATTCTATAAGCATCCTATTGTTGTAATAAATTACCAGAAACTCAGGGTATTGAACAATACAAACGTATTAATTATAGTTGTGATGGTCAGAAGTTCTAAAATCAAGGGGTTAGTAGGCTGCATTTTCTGGAGGCTCTAGGGGAGAATTCGATCCTTGACTTTTTCAGCTTCTAGGGACAGTCCATATTCTTTTGCTTCCATCTTCAAAGCTAGTATTCATATCACCCTGGCCTGTACTTCTGCAATCACATTTCCTCTCACTATGAGACTTTGTCTCTCTCTGATTAGGACACTTGTGGCTACACTGGAGTCACCTCTTATAAGAACCCTTGTGCTTAAACTCTGTCTCTCTTTTATAAGGACACTTGTGGGTTACACTGTAGTTACACTGGGGCTACACATGGTAGAAGAAAATCTCCCCAAGATTCTTAACCTGATCACATCTGCAAATCCAGACATTCCTCATTTACAGATTTTCGGGAATAGAGTGTGGACATCTTTAGGGGTCCATTAATCTTTCAATCACATACCTATTGTGCAACCAGCTGCTTACTTTTTCTTACTACTGATATCAGTCTTAGGTAAATTGGAGTCAGATGGACTGTACCATTTTTAGTGCTATTTTTACTTTTTTGAATCTTTTTCCACATAGGAACCAAAACGACACCTCTGCTCTGATGAATTTACAGGACAATATGGGTTTAGATCACTGGAGCTTTCTTGATCTATGTATTCTCTGATATTGATGCAGAGAATCTGCTGGGTTTTGAAATATTAAGGGCTAATGACTGGTACATTTCTGGGGTATTGTGCCCACCAAAGAAATAAAGCAAGACTAATCCTCTGGCTAAAGATCCCAAATCCACAAAATACCAACTTGATTATCTCTCTACTGAGATCTAACAGTTCTGAGAGCTTGGGAGAATTGTTAATGTACCTTCTCATGGCCAAATTCCATAAAGCATGATATAAGAATACTTCATCATCTGAATTATGTGACCTACCGACAACATTGGTCAACACAGAAAATGGCCTTTCTGCTGAAATTTCAAAAGAGTGGTGCCTTACTCTAAAGAAAGTTCTTCATTCTCTGTCTCCATACTTTCATTAGAGAAACTGGCATAGAGAATGTGAGGGGGAAGATGAGCAATGAGGAAGGTGAGATAACAGACACCAGGTGGTTATTGGTAACGCATATTATTTCCACCCTAAGGACAATAGAAAGTATTGAAGGAATTGAGGTAGGGGCAAGGCAGAAATCAAGGGTTATTTAGTGGTATTTTGGCTTGGGGACACTGGATGGATGGCAGCTCCATTTACTGAAATGGAAAACTAAGAAAAACGTAGGGTTCGTAGGGTTCGGAGGTAGGATGCAGATTAAGTTGAATTGCTTGTGAGACATCCAAGTGGAATTAACAAACATGCAGTTAGCTTTATGGGTCTGAGGCTTGGGAGAGAGGTTTGGGCTTGCAAATATAGTTATTACTTTTCAGTTTATGGATGGTAATTGAGAGCAGTATTGGAGGTTGTATACAGAGTTAGAAGATGGTATAAGATAAAGACCTAAGAAGCACCAACATTTAGAGAACAGGCAGAAGGAAATGCCTGCAAAGGAGACTAAGGAATGGTTTAGAGAGGTAACTGGAAAATCAGAAAGACTTGACATGTTAAACAAATTTGTACCTATTCCTTGGGTGCCATTACTTGGAAACACGTTTCATCACGACAACGTGTAACTTGAAAATTGTTTCCTTACATATAAAATGGGGCCAATAATTCCTTACTGGCATCAGAGGGTTATGAGTTTCAAATGAAAAAATTTACTTAAAAAAATTTTGTAAAGTGTTACTCCAGTGGTTCTCAAACTTAAGTTTGTAACAAAATCACTAGGAGGGCTCCTTACAAGACAGATTTGTGTTTCTGATTCATTAGTAGTAGTCGTTTCTGAGTTAGTAGATGCAGGGAGGGGTCCCTGAATTTGAAATTTTCATAAACTCTCAGTTGAAGATGTTGCCCATGTGGGACCACCCTTTGAGAACTACTCTGTGATACGAATGTAAGGAATTATGGTTTGATTTTACAGCACAATTCACTGTTTTCCTCCTATGTTGTGTCTGTTGCATCCCCTACTTTTTTCATTCCTGTATCTGCCATCAAATGATGTTGAAACATCTTTACCCTGCATTCTACCTTGGCAACATTCTTTACATTTGTGAAAGATCAGCTCAGTGCAGTATTTCCTTGGTTTTTACATTAATGAGCATCGACCTGATATCAGCTTGATTAAGAAGGATAAGAAAAATATATGGTATTTCCCATGGGGAGGAGGAGATAAGGGACTTTTTGGAGTAAAAGGTGAGGTTTCTCCCCCCCCCCAAGTCAATTAGATGTAAAATGCTACTTATTACCTACTTTCAAAATCCCATTAGAGAACTTGTAATTTGATCCAGAGGGAGGAGAGTCAGGTAAAAGGAAAAATTGACCTCATTCTTCAGTCCTTTCCTAAATCCTGAGAACTGTATGTACTTCCACGCTCCCTCTTACAATCCCACAAAACGAGGAATCAGGAAAACGCATTAGCACCCTAGTACAGACTAGGAGCACAGAGCGGGGAGGAGACCCAGCCCCATCAAGACAGAAGGAAACTGGGGGAGGGGAAAGAAAACTTCCCCCTGTCGGAGACAGCAGCGTGGCCGTGGGAAGAGAAGGGAAGTGGGGACATTTACCTCAGTCAGACACTCCGCCTCTGGGCATGTGGGAAAGAGAGGGAGGCGGGGGAAAGGTTGCACAGGAGCGAACTCGCAATAGCTCCGGCCACTGCTTTTGAGCGAGGATCTGGATGGAGAGCTAGAGCTTTCTGCTTCACTTCTTCCCTCCTGGAAGCCATTTCTCCATATTTAACAGGGATAAGGACGGGGCGCTGGGCCGAGTCAGGATAAGCCAAAGTTGCCGCCTTCCCCACGTAGACCCCGCTCCGGCCCCTGGCCCAGGCTGGAGATGCGGCCTTAGGGGACGCTGAAGTTACTCCGTGGAGGGGGAGGGGTCGCCAGGCTCCCCTCCAATCACGGTGGCCGCTTCCGCTATTTGCATGTGTTATGCTAATACAGACCTCCCGCTCAGCTCCCTCCGAGCTCTCCGCCCCCTTGGAGGGTCTCCGGCGGAGCCCGCCGGCTGGGCGAAGGTGAATACATTATGCTAATGAGGCGGGCTTCTGCCCGGGCTTTGGAAGGGGGCGCAATGCTGCGGGAGCCCGGGGCTGGAGGCCGGGCGCCGGGAGGGGGTCGGGGGAGGGACGTCGTGCTCGGAGCGCGCGCGCACACACACGCACACACTCACACACGAGCATCCCGAAGGGTATATAAGGCTCGCACCCGCGAGGCTGCGGAGATACTTCGTGCAGCCGCGACTTTAGCCTCGCCCCTCGAATTTGCTCTTTGGGTTATTTCGTTTTCCTGTCTCCTTTCCCCCTTAGCCACCCCTTTTGCGCTGCGCTCTCGCGGTTTCTCTCAGCCTTTCTGCCTGGAACTGAATGTAGGTAGGAAACAGGTCGGCGTGCGGAAAAACACTGAATAGGCAGAAATAAGGCAAACTAACAGAGACGCAACAGGTCGGCTGCTCGGTGGCGAGGGCGAGCGGCGGCCCCTCGCTGTGCCTCTCGCGCAGTCCCCTTGGAGCCTGGGCGGGCGCTGTCGAGGACCCTTTCTGAGGTGTTCGTCCTCTGAGGGGCTAGGAGGGCCATCCGGGTGGGTTTCATTCCGGTTTTAACCTTTTTTGCCACCAGTCCCCAGACTGAGGGTGCTTTTCACTCCCAGCTGGGGGGAGAGAAGAGAGCGGAGAGGATGGTCCACGACCGCTGGTCTCGGCGCTGAGGAAAGCGGAGCTCCATCTCGATCTCCGCCAACTAGTTGTGCAGCCACCCAGACTGAACTTTTGGAGGAATCGTCCTTTTTCTTTCCTTTCAAGATTCTTGGAAGTGGTAGAGAGTGGGAGGCGAAGCCGAGGCAGCTGATCCCTCCACGATGCTGGTGAAGAAGCATGCGGGGAAAGGTGGGGGCCGGGAGCCAGGCTCCGAGGACCCGAGGCAGCGTTGTGCCTGGACCGTGCCGCCGTGCACCTCCCTGGCGGCCCTTCTCTCAGTGGTGGCCCTGATGTCTTGTCTGTACCTTGGGGTGAAAACCAACGACCTCCAGGCGAGGATCGCTGCTCTCGAATCCGCAAAAGGGGACCCTTCCATTCATCTGCTCCCTGATCGCCTGGATCAGCTCAAAGCAGTGGTGCAAGAGAAAGTGGAGCAACTTCTGGCTCAGGTGTGAAAGGCTGGGGTGTTTTGCACGTGGATAATGTCTTGCACAGGCGTGATTCTGTGTACACGATCAGCCTGTACCCTTACTGTATGCATACTTGGTGTGGCTGGGTGTGCATACGCTAGGCGACCATTTATGCTCACTGTAGCCTATTATTTGTATATGCACATCCTTTGATATCACACTCTCTGTCTCTATCATCTTCCCTCACTCTTAATGTTTGCATGCTAAACATATATGGAAGACTGAAAGAGGGAAGGGTGGCCAGAAAGGCAGCGTGGCATTTTATCTCTTTTTAGTTTTCTAGAGTGACATACTAATCTTTTCCAATTTTTTGGAGAATATTCCTTGCAAAGCTAACATCTGTTAGGTCCTTCATATATTGTAAGAAGGTTCGTGCCATAGGTGTTATTAATACACAAATGGTAATCGCTCTTAAAAATGAAGTAAACCTATATGTGATTTTAAATTGATCATTTCACACATTAAATGTTTTCATATTTAATGTTTGAAAAGAAAAAAAATGTAGCTTATTTTTTTTTTTTATAAAGGATGCAGTGGCAGGGGTGTTTATGTATGCAGCGCCATTGCAGTTGCGAGTTGAAAGGAATCTAGGTTACGTTTATCAAACCAGGGGTGGCATTAGACTAGAGTTAGGGGGTTTTCTGGAACTTGCTCTTCCGACAGAGAGGCTGTGTGGCAGTAGTTGCAGCATGACGTGATAAACAGTTGACCTTCATGTACACAATATTGGGTGTTTTAAAACCCATAGGTTACCTAAAACTCCAGCATGGTAAAGCCAGGTTTTGGCATTGACTGCATGTGCTTGAGCTGAGGGAGAAAGTGGAGGGTGGTGGTAGTTGAAGAATGGAGAAAGATGTTGTACAAGTCCAGCAGTCTTGACACGGTGTCAGAAGTCATTTCTTTTTTTAGGGCTTGGGTACTGTTACCTTTTGACTAAAGTCCAAGTACATATGTAAATGTTAGTTATGCAGGCTATCAAATGCTGGTAAATCAAGCATATGGCCAGAGAGTTCCTAAAGAATCTGTTTCTCTACAATGCTACTGATGACAATACCTCTTCTTTTCCTACAGAGATCCTATGAACATATGGCTAAAATAAGAATCGCAAGAGAAGCACCTTCAGAGTGCAACTGCCCAGCAGGTAAAATGGAACTTATTTTTTAACAAGGTTTCCTCCATAGCAGAGTATTTTTAAAACAAAAGTCCTGTATCTGTCAAGTCTACCTGTAATAATAGTAAAGAAAGAATGCAGGCCCAACTTACTTTAATAAAATCAACATGTCTCAGTCAAAAGAATGGCAAATAAAGCCCCAAATATTATTTTAAGCAGCATACCAAGGCCTGTTAGGGGAAAGCAAAGGAGATAAAGATAATCACCAAGAAAAATACAAGCAAGATGGCATACAAAGACTAAGTTTTTAGATTCACGGATTTGAAAAATATTCTTCCTTTTTATTCAGTTTTAATGTCTGTGGTGAAAAGGACTGCAGAACATGTTAGATTCTGAATTCCCTGGTGGCTCATACTGCATTAGTACAGATCTCCATTTGTTCCCTTTGACATACGGTTATGTTAGTAAATTACCCTAACCTCCTCACCTGCTTTTATTCTTTTCTATCAAAAAGGTTCTCTCTCCTATCCTACAGCTAATGATGAGGACTGAAAGAAAATAAAATTCTTTATCTTGAGCTTCTTATTATGAACTATTGCAATCGTGATGACTTCTCAGAAAAGGCTGTTCTGTCTTTTCATTTTTCTGTGTAGCTTTAGGGAACTGTTTTAATGACAGCATATTAATAGAAGGATGGAGAAGAGAGACATCAGTGAATAGAAACTCCTATGTAATCATTAAATCTTCATTCACAGATCTCTGAGGCTTGGTAGTCAGTCATCTATGGGTCTAACAGTTTGGGAGGCATTGGAATTTGTCTACTGGAAAACCTCTAGCGGATTCAGCTGATATAAGCCATGGAAAGCTCCCATAAGTTTTGAGATTTTTATTTCAGATAAATGTTGTTAATGCATTTACAAGCGTTTTCATTTTTTTCATCATCACTATAGAAAAATGAGTCTGTTACCTTTTCTTTAATTTTCAGGAACATGATACTTTAGATGATACTGATATTCAGAAAGGCTAGTTCCTGTGTTTTTTCATATTCTGGATTTTTTTTTTTCTCACGAGAACGTGCTTTGACACAACTAAACCGGGCACCATGGTTAGAAGTTTCAAATGTTAGCTCCTGGTTGTACATCATGAAAATTTTACCATTTATGTTCTGCTGCATTGTTGACCATTACCGAGCTGGTTGGTTTGTTTGTTTCAATTGAGAAGATACACACATTAGATAACAAGAAAACAAAGAGTTAATGTTCGACATTGGAGATTTCATTCTTGGTTTTTTTTCAGTTGGGAAAGACCTCAGAAGTCAGAAATTCAAGGAAGGCACTTTTCTAGTGCAGGAATTAACTTCCAACAACCTCATCAGCCTGTAGGGATTATTTAAATTCCCAAGACAGTTGGTACAGGACTTCACTGATCATACCACTTAGACTCTGCATTTTCTGTATGTAGTATTCTTGTTAGCTGTGTGAAAAACAAACCTGTTTAATTAATAGGATTCTTAGTGAACTTGGTAAAATTTAGAAAAGCGACAACCGCAGCACTGAGTTGCTTTTTGTAGTTTAATCTGCTTCTTGATGTTTGATGCAAGTTAGTTATTGAGGTCTAATTTGTAATCTGGAGGAAAGCCATTACATTTAGAGGGCACCTTATATTATCTTGGAACGTCGTTTTGAAACGTTTTCTTCTTAACATATTAACTTCATAATAAATGGTGATTTTATCCTAAGAACACACAAATAAATGATGAATTGGTGATTTCCTTGGCCTTTTGTTGGTTCTCACTAATGGCTGCTTTACTTTCTTGCCACCACTAGAGCTCCACATTACATCAGTTTTCACCAGATGTAATGAAGAGGTAGACATTTGAAGGTGTACAATCTAAGACACGGAATCAAACATGTTTCTTGCTGACAAATCACTATTATAGAAATGCTATAGTATTTTTTTAGTTTGCAGAATAATCAGACATCATCAAAATAAAGGCATTATTTTGAACATAGTATCCTGGGAGGAAACAAGTTATTTTGAATTATGGTTAGTGAGGTATTGTCTTAGGGAATGAATGGCCTGGCCCGGAGGATTAGAAAGGAGATATGGAGCTTCCCACCTGGTTTGGCTTTAACCCTGGTTTGCGGTGACTAAGAGTTGTCACCCAGACATCTGTTTGTAGGGCAGAGTGAGACAAGTCTGTGACCTCAGCTCAGTTCCTGTGGACACATGCCCACCCCTTGAAGTTGACACTCTTGTTGACAGTTTCCATCACAGAGCCAAGGACTGATAGCAAAGGGCCAATGCCCTGTTGTTTGTGTTCACTTTAATTGCTTTTGATAGAACTCAGTCCCAGTGAAGTTTATCCAGGTAGGCTACAAGGAAGTCGTAGAATTTATAGATTTTTTGTTTTTTTTTTTGAACACAGGAAAGAACTTTTGTGGAAAAGGGATGGGAAAGACTATTATTGAATGGTTTGTAATTGTAGGGGAAGCACTCTTATTTAAATCTTCCCAACAACCTTGGGAGTTAAGTGCTACTAATCTCATATTTACAGATGAAGAAACTGGACACAGAGAAGGTGACTAACTTAGCATAGTAAAGGCAGAGTCACGATTCATGCCCACATCTGACAAAATCAAAAGCACAAAGTCTAATAAGCAATAGAGAATGAATATAGGTTTTGGGCTGGACAGGACTGGAATCTTGGGTCTACTACTAAGTAACTGTGGGACCTTCTCTATATTCCAGGTTCCTCATCCACAAAAAAGTGTCATATACTACCTTCCTCAGAAGTTGATAATTTGCATAAAGTGTGACATTTTAGTGGTTATTCATTAGATAATAGTTATTATTCTTTTTAATATATTATGCACTACTTAACTCTAACCTGGTCCATGGGGACGCATGATGTGGGTGGGAAAACTTAGCCCTGGAGATGTATATAACTTGTTCAAAACCCAAAGGCTAGTTAATGGCAGGTTTTGGATTAGAATACTATGGTTAGTTAAGCAAATATATCTGCAGATCATTCATGGAGATAATCAAAATGAGTCAGTATCTCTTAGTGCTTTATCAATGGAGATTGGTTCTTTATAGATATTTATATTAGTCTAATAAATTGTTTTTACCAAATTTGAAGGAAAAACTTTTGACCTTGTAGGTAAACCATGATTGAAGTGGTTAGAATTTGGGATTAAAAGAGTATGAGGATATGTCTTTACAGTTTTGATAACACATGTTTTCTAAAAGAAGTGCTTTAACTGTCTGACTCATTTTCACACTTATTTTTTTAAATGTTTATTTATTTTTGAGACAGAGAGAGAGAGAGGGAGGGTGGGAGTGTGTGAGCAGGGCTAGAGGAGGGGCAGAGAAGGGAGAGACAGAACTCAAAGAGGGCTCCAGGCTCCAC